TCGCGCTGACAACCCGCTGCCTCCCGCGCTATAAATTCGCGCAACCCTCTCCTCTCGCTCTCTTTTGATCTCGGCTGCAATGCTGCGCGAGCTATGCACGAAGTCCGCAGCACCGAACAGGCTCGACGAGCCCAAGGATGGGCAAAGTGACGACGCGGGGTGGACACGCGGTAGACTCGGGGCAAAGCAGTCGGGGGGGGGACTGAGCAGTGGTGGGGATTGGACGCCGGCCGCGGCAAGGCCTTGTGGCTATGGTGGTCGGTGGTCTTGGGTAGTTTTGAAGGCTGCGCCTGGGGGCAACAGTTAATTGATAATTTTTGTATACAAGAAGGACTTGCTTTTATCTCCATTGCTGCTTTGTCTATGCATGGCGTGTGTGTGAGGCCCCGAGTGATGGGAGCTTATCGTGCGCATGAGTGATGTCGAAGGTCTATGGATGATTGGATGTCTTGTCAAGGGTCGATTGATTGTATGCAGGTATGTGTGTATGTACTTATCTGGGCGGGGACGGGGGAACTGAACCGGATGACCGTCTGCTAAGGAGTATGAGTGTGTTAATCCCGTTGTTCCCCTCCCTTCCGCGGCCCTACCTGCACGTACACGCAGTCTCTGTGTAAACTCTCTCTCTCTCTCTCTCTCTCTCTCTCTCTCTCTCTCTCTCTCTCTCTCTCTCGCCCCTCTTTTTAAATGGGCAGTCATCGTTTCTGAACTCCTCGTCCCCGCACCGGTGACATCCACCGTCGGCGTCCGCGCGTGCGGTCGATGCCCCCGCGACAGGGAAGAGAACTTAGATTTCATCATCTTCTTCCGACGCACTAACCTTGAGAGAGAAGGGTTGCATCGAGTGTTGTATGGAGATGGTGCTGGTACGGATGACCAGAAGCGCGGGGTCTGGACTGTGTTCATCGCCTACATCCGATCCTTCCATCTCGCTACCGGCCTTTCCCATCGCAGATGACGACGACGTTTACTGCGATGCGGATGTACGACGCGCTTTGAGTCGAACGGAGCAAGTCTGTTGGCGAGACCCGCCCCGGGCGTTTAATATTAGGGGAGACGGGTTCGTCTCAATTGATCGTTTCGATTCCCCGACTCTAATATTGCCTTATACGGATTTGACTGTGTTGCCCTGGTCGGCCGCTCACGCCACGTAGCGGCCGCAGTTTGATTGTCGCTGGTGTCGCCAGGGGGACTCATGTTCTTGGCGACGACTAGTCCTGGGTTACGAGGGAGCGACACGTTTCCTGGAGCTCTCCCGTAATGTGGGGGCGCTGCCCGCGCAATTTCGAATTCGGGTGTCGGCAAGTTCTCCCGCCGCTTCACCCTCTCGGGAACTCCCGCGCGGACTTTGTGAGTCCGACGCCGAGGCTTGAAGGCCTCGAACCACCCACCTATGCAACGAAAACCTGACGACCCGGTCGTCGGTCCTTAGCCATCGTAGCCTCCTCCCCCTACTACCCTTCTTCATTTTGATTCACTACGACAATTCGTCTTTGCGGAACTATTCGGTTTTCGTTACCTTGGACTGACCCGACCTCCACGGGACTCAGTGGCGAAAGATCGATCCCGGGATAACCTCTGGCTTGAGACGAGGGCCTCCCGTTCCGACCGGGAGACTCAACCCCTACGGCCAAAAACAAATCCACGGCCGCGCCCCTCCTATAACTCTGATCGGCGGCCCGGTACGGGAAGTCGCGAGGGGGCGTGAGGTTGCATATCACAGACGCCGAGTTTGGTGCACCAAATTCGGCGTCAGACACTAGCTGATGCCCTCTCTCTCTCTCTCTCTCTCTCTCTCTCTCTCTCTCTCTCTCTCTCTCTCTCTCTCTCCCTCTACCAACGTTGAAATGAGAATGAATCTTCCACGTTATCTCGGACGATTCATTCTCATCTCTCTCTCTCTCTTCCCCCCTACCAACTTTGAAATGAGAATGAATCTTCCGCGTTATCTCGGAAGATTCATTCTCATTTGAACGTTGGCTCTGATCTCTCTCTCTCTCTCTCTCTCTCTCTCTCTCTCTCTCTCTCTCTCTC